GATAGCTCACCGATTTATTTTGTGATTCTGGGATAGCTCACCGATTTATTTTGTAATGCTGAGATAGCTCACCGATTTATTTTGTGATGCTGAGATAGCTCACCGATTTGTTTTGTCATGCAAAGATAGCTCACCGATTTATTTTGTGATTCTGGGATAGCTCACCGATTTATTTTGTGATGCTGAGATAGCTCACCGATTTGTTTTGTGATGCAGAGATAGCTCACCATTTTTGTTTTGTGATGCTGAGATAGCTCATTGTTTTATTTGAAGTAAAACTTCAAAGAATATTGTTTTGTTTAGCTTTTATTGTTTTTGATTTTTAACTTTCACACTGTATTTGTTTTAAATTGGTTTCTCATAATCTAATCTGAATCAAGTCTAATAGGGCAGGTTTTATTTAACTTTTTATTTAATATCATATCGTGTTTTAAATTTATGAATACAGTTGTTTAAAATGTTTTGATTTAAATGCTTTCTTTGATTTGCTCGATTGAAAGTTGTCTATTACAATGCCTAAATCCTATTCTGTTGTTTTGGTTTCTTTCTAGTAAGATTTTAACATGGGATAAGTGAATAATTATTTTACTAACGATATAGAGTGAGTAAATATCAATTATTTTTGGAACACTGATATTTTCATGACGCACTTTTTTCTGGTAGCGAATGAACATACTAACTTCATTCGTAATGGTAAAATGACATCCTTAGAACGATATTCATTCATAAAAGGCGCGCGACAATGACGTCATTTAAAGCACGCGACTTAGGATTTTCTAGCAGTGGTGTTAACGTGAGATAATCCTGCCCGATATGCAAGAATAATAATATTTGTCATATGTTGCGGTTCGGACCGGAATATCCGTCCCGAGGGGACCCGCCCATTTGGTGGAAACGAGGCTTGCACACTTGTGTTTTATAAAATTTGCAAGATCATGGACCACAGTAAAAAATCTGCTGATTTCACGGTAATATTAAAAGAGGCCATGACCCCATTATTTTAGGTGAATCCTATATGAAACTCAAATTAAGCATCGGTAAGAAAATATTTGTGAAATTTCTCTGATTCAGATGTGCACTATAACGCTATATACGTGAAAGAGAATATAGGACCGTCACAGGGTAAGCTCTTAACTTTTTAGACATTTAAATAAAATTCAAAGCTTTTTCTGAAAAAAAAGAAAAGAAAATAGAAAAAGAAAATGTGATTAGATCTATATCCTCCTGACTTTTCAAATTTGTACTCATTTTTATATCGGATTTTTATGCAGTCTTCGTCAAAATATTCTTTGGGTCGTGGGTTCTGATATGTCCAGCGTATGCAATACGTTTAAAAAGAATTTCACTAAACGAACCCCAGAATACAGAATTTTTGCGGCGTTTCTTGTTGACTTGTTTTGCATCCTTTCTATAGTACAGATTTCACCCATCTATCCACTTTCTGTACAGCACCTGTTCTTGCTAACTCCTGTCCTTCCCATTCTTTGTATTCTGGCTCGTATCTATTCGATATTTTTTCCAGCATAATCTTCTGCATGTGATCGCGTATTCCCCTTATCGCTCCCTAAACTAGAAGTTCACTTCCCACATTTTGATCCGAAGCAGTCTTCTTAATTGTCTTATAAATATGATCAGCCAAAAGAGCAGTGATCCAAAGTATGTATTCCTTTTGCATCGTCACCCTAAATTTTCCTTTTATGTCGCGCAATATACGTCTCCTAGTAACATCTGCCGTCACGCACTCTGAATCCATGTAACCGAGCACGTTCTCTTCGTATTCTGGCTGGCGCAGACCAAAAGTTACGTCGATTATTTTTTTCCATGGGTCTATATACTCCTCATCGCATGTATCCGTCATATTCTCCTTATCGCTACCGTCATCAGAGCTAGAAAGCGTGTGCGCACTTCTGCAACACTATATCATATATACACTGTATACATACCTGACAGATGTATGATCAGTTTGTAACCAGACTTGCTGGTACTAATAGTTATTAAGCTTTCCAACAAGTTTGTAACCAAACCTGCTGGTACTGATTATTATCAAGCTTTCCCACAAGTTTGTAACCAGACCTGCTGGTACTGATTATTATAAAGCTTTCCCATAAGTTTGTAACCAGACATGCTGATACATATAATTAAAAAAGCTTTCCAACAAGTTTGTAACAAGACCTCCAACAAGTTTGTAACAAGACCTGCTGGTACAGATAATTAAAAAGTTTTCCCACAAGTTTGTAACCAGACCTGCTGGTACTGATAATTATTAAGCTTTCCCACAAGTTTGTAACCAAACCTGCTGGTACTGATAATTAAAAAGCTTTCCCATAAGTTTGTAACCAGACATGCTGATACATATAATTAAAAAAGCTTTCCAACAAGTTTGTAACAAGACCTCCAACAAGTTTGTAACAAGACCTGCTGGTACAGATAATTAAAAAGTTTTCCCACAAGTTTGTAACCAGACCTGCTGGTACATATAATTAAAGAGCTTTCCAACAAGTTTGTAACCAGACCTGCTGGTACTGCTTATTATAAAGCTTTCCAACAAGTTTGTAACCAGACCTGCTAGTATAGCTAATTAAAGAGCTTTCAAACAAGTTTTTAACCAGACCTGCTGGTACTGTTTATTATAAAGCTTTCCAACAAGTTTGTAACAAGACGGCTGGTACAGATAATTAAAAAGCTTTCCCACAAGTTTTGTAACTAGACCTGCTGGTACAGACAATTAAAAAGCTTTCCAACAAGTTTGTAACCAGACCTGGTTGTACTGATTATTCTAAAGCTTTCCAACAAAGTGTAACCAAACCTGCTGGTACAGATAATTAAAAAGCTTTCCAACAAGTTTGTAAACAGACCTACTGGTACTGATAATTATAAAGCTTCCCAACAAGTTTGTAACTAAACCTGCTGGTACTGATAATTGTAAAGCTTTCCAACATGTTTTGGGCCAGACCTGCTGGTACCGATTATTATCAAGCTTTCCCACAAGTTTGTAACCAGACCTGCTGGTACTGATTATTATCAAGCTTTCAAACCAGTTTGTAACCAGACTTGCTGGTACTGATAATTATTAAGCTTTTTCACAAGTTTGTCACCAAACCTGCTGTTACAGATGATTATAAAGCTTTCCCACAAGTTTGTAACCAAACCTGCTTGTACTGGTAATTATTAAGCTTTCCCACAAGTTTGTAACCAAATCTGCTGGTACTGATAATTGTAAAGCTTTCCCACAAGTTTGTAACCAAACCTGCTGGTACTGATAATTATTAAACTTTCCAACAAGTTTGTAACCCAACCTGCTGGTACTGATAATTATTAAGCTTTTCAACAAGTTTTGGGCCAGACCTGCTGGTTCTGATTATTATCAAGCTTTCCCACAAGTTTCTAACCAGACCTGCTGGTACTGATTATTACCAAGCTTTCCAACCAGTTTGTAACCAGACTTGCTGGTACTGATAATTATAAAGCTTTCCCACAAGTTTGTAACCAAACCTGCTGGTACTGATAATTTTAAAGCTTTCCCACAAGTTTGTAACCAAACCTGCTGGTACTGATAATTATTAAGCTTTCCCACAAGTTTGTAACCCAACCTGCTGGTACTGATTATTGTAAAGCTTTCCCACAAGCTTGGAGCCAGACTTGCTGGTACTGATTATAATAAAGCTTTACCACCAGTTTGAAACCAAATGCTGGTACTGATAATAATAAAGCTTCCCATTAAGTTTGTAACCAAATCTGCTGGTTCTGAAAATTGTAAAGCTTTCCCACAAGTTTGTAACCAGATCTGCTGGTACTGATAATTATAAAGCTTTACCACCAGTTTGTAAGCAGACCTGCTGGTACTGATAATTATAAAGCTTCCCAACAAGTTTGTAACCAATCCTGCTGGTACTGATAATTATTAAGCTTTCCAACAAGTGTTGGGCCAGACCTGCTGGTACTGATTATTATCAAGCTTTCCCACAAGTTTCTAACCAGACCTGCTGGTATTGATTATTATAAAGCTTTCCAACCAGTTTGTAACCAGACTTTCTGGCACTGATAATTATAAAGCTTTTCCACAAGTTTTTAACCAAACCTGCTGGTACTGATAATTATAAAGTACCACAAAAACAACAATAATAAAGACAGAATAGTTTTGGGTTGAGATAGTAGCATAGTTAGAAAATGGCAACATATTTGGTCGGGTGGCTGATAATGATGAGGGTAATTTTAATGAATTTATCGCAAAATAACGAGGATACTGTTGCCAAATCGTCTGTACCCGTGACATTAGTATATTTCTTGAGTGAACATCCATGTCTAAATAATCATTTTTAACAAAACTATTTTGAAAAAAAATCCACATTTATACGGTTCGTAGATGCTAGACCTTTCTTTCTCAATAAGTCTGCAGTTCGAACATCTTTGGGTCTTACCTTCACAAAAAATCGACACTTATACAAGCCACAGATTCTAGACCTTTCCTTCTCAATAAGTCTGCAGTTCAAACATCTTTGGGTCTTACCTCCACAAAAAATCGACACCTTTACGGACCGCAGATGCCATGTCTTTCCTACTCGTTAAATCTATGAAGCAAGGCCTTTCCTATATAACAAATCTGCGATCAGCTTTAGATTGCAGTTGTTTCCTATACCTAATGTGCCACTTCATTGTTGCATTTATTTGTTCATTACGGCGCGTACTGGTGACGCAATTTATTTTTAATTTTTGTTCAGGGAGTGTTCATTTCGGATAAAAATATGTAAAAGCCTATGACATTTTATCATTGTTAGAGAAAGAGAACGCTGGTATTTAAAATTTCATTTATAGTATCAGCTTTGAATTGACGATATCAATACCCTATATTTGTATGACTGAGAAAAATAAAACTCAACATTTATTTATTTATACAAGTTTTTTTTTCAACAAAAGAATATTATAATGTAATAAAGTACAAATCGTCAGCGCTAGTCATAGATACACTTGAAGAGAGATCATAAACAAGATTGAGAATGAGATAATGTAAGGAAATCATACATTTTTTATTTATATCAAAACGAAACACAATCATACAAATATTAGAACTGAAAGACACTTTTAAAGAAAATTTATAAATGCAAACATATAATAATGTTAGACAAATATACATGTACAAATGTCTATTAAATTTCACAACAGCTACAACAACAACAACAACATATAGCAACATCATTTAAAGTCTACGTTACTATATTGTATTATTTTCCCAACCTCCCCATCCCCATTTATTTACTTCCGGGTTAATGGTGACATCCCTACTGCCACCTAGATCACACGATAAATAACCACCATTAATGTTAACGTCAGCAAGCTGGTCCTGGGCAGAGTTACAGGTTGGTGGTGCAAAGCTTGACTCACATCTATCTGAATCCATTCTGTGCCGCTGACCTATCGGATGTATATACTCATTCACATAACGGCCACTTCTGTCGACCTTAAGTCTTGGGCCCCAATCTTTCTCCTCGTGCATCGCTTCTTTTATCTGGAAATAATCAATTTTAATGTAACATAACAGAAATGATCATCTTTATTCTATCAATAAGTTAGACAATACTAACATATGACCAAATAATCACGATATTCACCATTTTTTCATACGCGACATACATATGTATAAGATACTGAAAATATCTCAGTATATAACATTATAACGACTTTCCTGGATTAAAAATATCATTTTAAACTTAAAGGGACTCCACAGTAGGTTTTTTTTTTTAAATGACGGGACTTGGAATATTTTTTTCCCTCTGATTTAGGTCTAGACCAATCACTTGTGTGCTAAATTTGAGAACATCCACTTACTCCGTTTAACCAGAGCAATCACGTTAATTGTGAAAAATGACCCAATATATGAAAAGCAAAACAACCCTACTTACTGAAATCGGGCTAAGAACAGCACAAAAATACGATTTTCATTAAATTTCTGGGTATATTTCTTAATTATCTTTTGCATATATTTCTGATCTATGTAAGAAATTCAGATTTTATGTTTTTTAGCCTTTTGCGCCTCAGTGAAGTTCTTTTTACATGAAATAATACAAACCCCGCCATTTTTCCGTATTTGGTACCCAGCGACGCCTAGCATAATCACTAAGGGCGTGATTATCAATATCCATCCAAATGCCTCTCCCCCTGGCGTTGTTGTTACACCATTATAACTAACGGAAGTGTATCCTACCGCAGACGCAATAAAAATAAACTGCAAGAAGAAAGAATAAAAATGTGAAATAGTCATATTTTTACATATATGTTTTTTAACTAACAATCGTTTACTTCAATATAACAAATATTAAAACAAGAGGGCAATGATGGCCCTGAAGTCGCTCACCTGTATATAGGCCCACGAGAGGGGCCAGTTTAAACCCCGGGGCTTTTATTTGAACAAACTTGGTAGACACCCATTAGAAGATGTTTCTGCTAAACATCTAAGGTCTAGCTCGTTGGGTTTTTTAAAAGGAGATTTTTTTAAAGTTTTTCCTTTACACATTTAGTTAAAAACAATGACACACCTGGGGCAAGGCCAGTTTTGACCCCAGGGCCTTTATTTGAACAATCTTTGTAGACACTTACTAGAAAATGTTTCATGCTTAATATCTAAACTCTAGCTATTCGCTTTTTTCAAAGAAGATTTTTAAGGTTTTGCTATACAAATATAAGGAAAATCAATGTCCCCAGGGGCGGGGCCAATTTTGACCCCAGGGCTTTTATTTGAACAAACTTTGTAGACACTCACTAGAAGATGCTTCATGCTTAATATCTAAACTCTAGCTTTTTCAGTTTTTTCCAAGAAGATTCTTTAAGTTTTTGCTATACACATATAAGGAAAATGAATGACCCCCGGGGCGGGGCCAATTTTGACCCCAGGGCTTTTATTTGAACAAACTTGGTAGTGTATAAACTCACTAGAAGATGATTCATGCTTAGTATATAAACTCTAGTTATTTGGTTTTTTCCAAAGAAGATTTTTTTAAGCTTTTGCTATACACATATAAGGAAAATCAATGACCCCCAGGGCGGGGCCAATTTTGACCCAAGGGCTCTTATTTGAACAAACTTGGTAGACATCCATTAGAACATGTTTCATGCTAAATATCGTTGTTCTAGCTCTTTGGGTTCTTTAAAAGAAGATTTTAAAGCTTTTACTATATGCATATAGGGAAAATCAATGACCCCCTGGGGAGTGGCCAATTTTGACCCAAGGGCTTTTATTTGAACAAACTTGGTAGACACCCATTTGAAGATGTTTCATGCCAAATATCTTAGCTCTAGCTCTTTGGTTTTTTTAGAAGAAGATATTTAAAAAAAATTCTTTTGGTTGCCATGGCAACCAGAGTTCTGCATGGAATGGAATTCTTTGAACAACTTTGATAAGGCTTCACGCAAGGAACATCCCTGTGAAGTTTCATTATGATCTGCCTTATGGTTTCAGAGGAGATGTCGTTTTAAAAGTGTGAACGGACAACGTACGACGGACGACAGACGACGGACGAAGAGTGATCCTAATAGCTCACCCTCAGGTGAGCTAAAAGGTATCAAATATATGTATCTGTATACACTAATTCAAATACACGCATTGACAACAAACGAAAATAATAACTTAGTTTTACCATGCCAAATGCAGGAGCAGTGACCCCCCAAGTTGCCATCCAGTACCATTTAAACAGCCCCGACTTCCGGCCAATCATCATCTCAACGTCAGCTATAAAGCGTCGAAGTCCATAAACCCAACATACCGCTACACTCTCCATGATGAGAAACAGGGTTAAGGTAAAGTCTGCCGTATAACGATCCATAACAACTAATAAATGAATACCACCATCTGTAATGAGTGGAAGACCCAAAAGGTATGGTACCACACACAAAGCAATTAAAATTAGATTGCCCTTCTTCTTGAAAAGGTCTGGAAACACGTCTTCAATTGACACATAAACTGTCCAGACCATGATAAAAACCGAGTCAACACCCAGTGTTAACACCACCATGAAAAATAACAACGCCCACATGGCAGATCCTGGGAGCTGTGAGATTCCTTGCAGGTAAGAGATAAATATTAGACCAGGCCCTTGATCAAAGATTGTATCTATTGGTCGGTTGAGCGTATACGACGCGTGGCCAAGGAATGCAAAAACGACAAAGCCAACGCATACACTGGTCAAAGTGTTCACACATCCTTAAAATAAATAAAATATCATTACTTACATTGTGGTTAGTTCACATTCTAGATAGTAGATATTAAATGCACCTAATGTTTTTTACGCAGTCTTAAATGTATTCTGGTACAGTATGCATTACATCCGTACATGTCAGATTCTCGGACAAAGTGTCTCATTTATCCATCAACTCAATCGCGTTATTGTTTTAAAACTCCATAGAAAACATCGTATTAATAAAGACATATTTAGGATCAACCGACTGTGCATTACCGGGTATTATACTATAATATCTATTGCAATCCTAACCACAGGAGCTCAATTTCAACAAACTGGTGTAGCCATTTCGATTTATACCTTTTACAGTCGCTGATATTTTAAATCAAAGAATACCATAATAATAATTGCCAATGTTCACTCGAAAGTCTGCAAACTACTTTGTATGGCACTCCATGCGCTGACGTCATTGGACTGAATATAAATAATTCATTGCTTTTGTAATAATCATAAGTTTAGTTGATGGGCCTTTCTTTATGATGAATGCGATTATAAAGAATATAAGATTGCATAATGTCATTAAAATAATGTAATGAAATAAAAAATATAGTTGTATTAAAAAACACTACTAAATAGGTACCCTAAAATCAGATGTAGTTTTGTTTGTAAAGTTTTCTTGTAAATAAAAACAATATGTATCTTCAGAACGTGGTATTGGTTAGGAATCGAACCAGATACCTTCAGATCGTTAGCCAGGTATCTATCCATTACACCACGCCCCACTGACGTGTGAAATTAACAAATATATCAATTAATTTAATTTTACCCATGAAATATGTGGCATTTTATCATGTTTCTTGAAAATATATTCCATATTTCACTCAAACGTAATATTTATTAGATGCCAGTGTTTATCCAATGATCTTTACGAAAGTTAATGAAGTGCCAGGTCAATATTGTTGGACAATGAAAGGTATAATTTTGTATTGTGTATCGAAATGGTAAACCAGTTTGTTGAAAATGATCTTCCATGCGTGTAATTGGATAAAATTTATATCGAGTGTGCAAAAGGCATTGTAGTCCTTGTGTTTATTTATATTATAAAGTTGTATTTTTGTCATTATTTTTCATTTGCTTATATTCAGTTATTGATAGAATGTTAAGCTCCTGTGTCATACTTATAATAAGAGAGCTGATAAAAATATGTTCAACTAGATCTACATAAATAATATGAGCGTAGACGCCATTTGGTTTTTTGACGTCATATATAACTGATGTCATGTGACGTGTCAGCATTCCCTTTTCTATGCTGCGCATTTAATATATATCGTGTAATAATGCCCTGGGCACGGGGAGAAACTGTTTCATGAAGATTGGACTTCATATGATAATTTGTCACAAGTTCTTATGATAACTGTTATTGAGTTCCTGGAAAATGTTACAGATTTCGTCGATATTGAAGAAACGCTCGTGAAAAATGGTAATTTTCATCTTTAAAATGATAAATCGTTTGATGATAAAGCCTGCCATACAAATTGCATTATGTGTCAGAAAAAGCTTATAAGTCCATTTTTCATCGCCTCTTGCTTAAAATATGGAAATTTTGAATACAAATTCCAAATTATTTGCTCATTCGTACACATTGACTTGTCCCTTCGTGATCTTCTTCGTTGCCATACTTAATTACCTAATAATTAAGAAAAGTTGCAAACATAAAGCCCTTACTAACAAATTCATGCTGTTTTTTTCAAATGTCATGGAGTTCTCGTAATAACTCTGAAAATGTCCTAGAGTTCTTATGATAACTTTTGTTACGGCCGATGTGCTTTTGTTTATTATTTATTTTAACTCTCTTATATAACAAAGAAGGTCGCAAGCGTGATATTTTTCGCAACAATGCACTCGCCGCAACACAATGACGGCGCCATTGTGTTGGAAAAGTCTGATAAATAAAAAAGTAACTTTTTGTTGAATTTTGTTCTGAAAGCTATCTAGAATGATACAAAGTGGTCAAACTAAAACGAAAAAAATCCGGACATCAATATCTTTTAGTGTCCAGCTTTATTTGTCATCCAATGAAAACGGTGTATTTCTAAAACATTGTTTGTTTTGATTTTCATAGAAGAACAATAGTCGATACTGTATCTAACTCCGTTCATAGTCGCCTTCTAATTTTCATTGTACTTCAGTGAACCTCGTTGCGACGTAATTAAGTGAATAAAACAATGAGGCCAAATAAAGCTTGACACTTAGTATGTTAGTATTCATCCGTAGCTGTTCTACAGAACTCTTGTCACTATCGCTCCCTTTGAAGTTTCTAATTTTTGATAACCACTAACATATACGTATTCAGTATTTAACGCTGTACAAACGTTTAAAGTGTTGTAGCGTCAATATGAAACGCTAAACAGAGTGTGCAAAAAAAGGCAAAACAAGAACGATTTTTCAACGCAAACCAGTTAAATTTCACATTAATTTCACTATAAATACTCAGTTTTTCGTTTGAAAAATATAAAGTGAAATAAAGAAAACACACAAAATTTTGATCAACGTTCTCAAAATTCATTACTCACAAAATGTTTCTGCAAACGGTAGACTTAACGACAGTTTTTTTTTCCCAACCGACTGGGACACCTTTTAAAGAACCAAATGAAATGGTCAATATGTACCAATAGGCAAGTATTTGAAAATTGTACTCAAAACTTCCAATTTTAAACCAGAATCTATTAAAAATGGACTAGATAAAGTTTTTTTCTGAAACATAAAATCATAAATAAGCAAGCTTATTATCAAAGTTTAATTTGCACATCAAACTCCCCATTTAAAGTTACAAATTACCATTTTTACATGTGTTTCTCCAGTATACAAAATAGTGAATTCATAATGTTTTCCAGGAACTCCGTGACAGTTATCATAAGAAATTGAGATATCCTTCGTGTAAATACTGACTATCTGTATGTACTTCCCTGTATAAGTTTATTTTTATATACTATAATTCATCTTACGCAGCGACAGCGTTTTGATTTTCTTGTATAACAGTTTGAGATTGATACATATGGAATTTTGCATGAAAAAAAAAAGAAGTGCCTGGACTAGGATTTGAACCATAGGCCTCTAAACTTTTAATGCACTGTAATTCGTTAAATGCGTACATTAAAAATTATTCTTTCTTTTAAATTGCTGGTTTTTAAGCAGTTTTGAGTGAGAACTACTTTGCGTTGTTAGGACTGTAAGGAAATTTTGTGTTAGACCGTGGATGTTAGCTATGTATTTACTGATCTTACGATCAGAAAGTACAATAAGGTATTTTACTAAAATGCCCGTTTATTTTGAGCCTGCTGGAACTGAGCCTTTCCTGCACTTGCCACGAGTACAAACGTTATCCTTCACATTCATGCAGTCTGACCAAGAATATATACCCTCGGTACCTAGCTTCGATAATAAAATCTTAATTATTTAAAGTGAACTGTTCAAAATTCAAAGCTTTGTAAATCCATAGCACAAACTCCGAGTTAAAGAATGGTAAATGATGTATATACTAATACCAAGAATGATACCATCCCGGAGAACGTTATTACTAAACCTATTGTGGCTAGCAAGCGCAATGTGGGAGCCGAAAGCCACGCCAATGGAGTACATGGCCTGAGTTGCTGCGCTGGACCAGATAGCCATGTTGGACAACTTCCGGTAGTCTGGTTCCGTGTAATATTTTATGCCGATTTCATGACCTTCTAATGTCATACCTCGAACCAGTAAAATGATCATAACCAAGAACGGGAACGAGGCTGTAAAATAGGCTACCTGAAATATAAAGAAAACACATTAATATGAGCAATAATTATGTGTATCCCAGACCCTTACATGCCTAGTCCTGACAAACACCAGTGACTTGTATCCCAGACCCAAACATACACCAGTGATGTGTATCTCAGACTCCCACAGTGACTTCTATCCAAGACCCCACATACACCAGTGATGTGTATCCCAGACCCCCACATACATCAGTGACTTGCATCCAAGACTCCCACAATACACCAGTGATGTGTATCACAGACCCTGACATACATGTATAGCCAAGGCTCACACGTACACAAGTGACTTGTAGCCAAGTTCCCCATGCACACCAGTGATGTGTATCACAGACCCCAAAATACATCAATGTCTTGAAAACCAGACCCCCACATCCACCAGTGACTTGTTTCCCAGACCCCGCCGTGATATGTAGCCCAGCGCTCACATACACCAGTGATGTGTAGACCAGACCCTAAACGTACACCAGTTTTAAGTCCAGATCCTCACATACACTAGTTATGTGTATCCCAGAACCCCATATATACCAGTGACTTGTAGCCCAGCCCCCACATACACCAGTGACTTGTTGTTCAGACCCCCACATACACCAGTTATTTGTTGTCCAGACTCCCACATACACTAGTGACTTGTAGGCCAGACCCTATATACACCAGTTATTTGTAGCCCAGACCGCTACAATACATTTAGTTTATGTGTAGCCCAGACCGGCACATACCCCCCACCGCTTTGGTCCAGGGGTTTGTAAAATTGGGTTGTAGCCAGACCCCCCCACCTATAAAAGTTATTTGAGTCCCCAACCCCAAGTTTTCCCCCCGGGGATTTTTTATCTATTTGCCCCCTAACCAGGACCCTTTTACCCCACCCCCACCCTAAAACCAGTTATTTTCCCCCCAGTTCCCCCCCATGCACCCGGGTTTTTCGTGTTTTGAGACCCCCCCTAAACACCCCGACCCCCCAAGGGCCCCCCCTTAATTACCAGTTTATTTGTAGCCCAAAAATTTTATCCAAATATTTTATAGGCCCCCGCCCAAAGCCCTAAAAAAAACTATGACTTTTACTTGAAATTTTTTCGGTGAATCCCGTTTTAAGGGCATTCTCTTTGAAGATAATCAAATAACAAGAGGGTCATGATGGCCCTGAGTCGCTCACCAGAAACAACTGCTTGTCAGTGTTTGAAATTATCTAGTGTCAATATGGAATGCTACAGTCAAAGTTTGGAGAGAGGTATTTCTTTATTAAGCTTTAGTAACCACTAAAAGAATCAAATTAATATGAGCAAACTTGATAAAAGACTACCAAAGAATGCTACAGACAAAGTTGGATGATCATCCATCAATTATTTCTGTAGAAGATCATTTATTATTTCAGTATTTAATGATGTAGTTTTATTTCTTCTATATTTTGCTTTCGCAGCCCTTAAAAGGGGCTAATAAAATTAATAAAAGACTACATAAGAACGCTACAGATATAGTTCGGTGATAATCCATCAATTAGTACTGTAGAAGCGGACATTTAAAGGTATTTCTATTTTCAGCCTTAGCTGCCACTAAAAGGGGCCAATCAAATCAATATGAGCAAATTTGATAAAATACTACTCAAGAATGCTACAGACAAAGTTTGGTGATCATCCATCAATTAGTTCTGTAGAAGCAGACGTTATAAGGTATTTCTATTTATAGCTGTAGCGGCCCCTTAAAGAGGCCAATCAAATAAATATGAGCAAACTTGATAAAAGACTATCTAAGAATGCTACAGACAAAGTTGGATGATCATCCATCAATTATTTCTGTAGAAGAAGATGTCTTAAGGTTTTTCTATTTCAGCTCTAGAGAACCCTAAAAGGGGCCAATCAAATTAATATGAGCAAACTTGATAAAAGACTACCATGAATGATACAGGCAAAGTTTGGTGATGATCCATCAATTAGTTCAGTAAAAGAATATGTTTAAATGTTTTTCTATGTTTAGCTCTATAGACGCCTAAATGGGGCAAATTGAAATGAAAGGAGCAAATTTAATTGTGACTGCCACTTTTCATACTAATAGCTCACACTGAACATTCGGTTCTGGTGAGCTAACAAGTATAATCCTCGCAGTCTCCGACGTTGCGAGTCAGTCTACAAGATTTGATATTTTGGAATAAAAATTCTCACTGGCCCAGCGGAGCGGGGACATCATGCTGGCAAGTTATGAGTCCATGTCCCCTCTACCCTACACTTTTTTCAGGGATGGGTCCGGCATTACACCTACATGTTCGTAACTTGTACACTGTCAAGTGCTTACAGCTTTGTGTATTATAATGACACACGATCAGCACTATTTTGTAACATAACACCAGGTTTAAGTGGGATAAACAAGTATACATTGCACTATACAGTTCTGAAACTGTTCCATGTTAATCAAGATTTGTGTTACTGTGTACACCGTTAACCGTAATAATACTTAATAGGGATATCTCTCCAAACCACAAGACCTTGTTATTGCCGCAGCAACATCTTAGATTGAGAACTCTTTTGAACACAAGCATAAACGAAATGGCTGCTGACCGTAATGAAATCAGGAGTATGTGCGCTATGAATATCTTACGCTTTATGCAGTACCGCAAGAGGGACCTGTGCAACAACAAAATCAAAGAGAAAAAACACTGCCGCAGAAAGTCCGAATGCCACAATAATGCACCTACATTGTATAACCTAAATGGAAACCTACGTCGGAACTTTATACCATAAATGGAGACCTATGTAGTGACTATGCACTTAATGGAGGCCTTTGTCACAAATATACGCTAAATGGAGTCCTATGTAGTAACTTTACACTAAATGGAGACCTATATCGTAACCTCACACTAAATGCAGTCCTATGTCGCAACAAAATACTAAATATACACCAAATGGTGGTCTATGTCGTAAGTTTACACTGAATGGATGTCTATTTTGCAACAATACACTAAATGGATATCTATTTCGTAACTATACACTAAATAGAGGTCTATATCGCAACTTTACTAAAATGGATATAAATTGAGACCAGTTCGCAACTATGTTGCAACTATACACTAAGGGGAGGTCTATGCTACATCTATCTGAGATCTATGTTGCAGCTTTACCCTAAATGGAGGTATATGTCGCAAACTATACTGTAAATTGATGTGTTTGTGCAAACTATACCCGAAATGGAGGTGATGGAGGTCTATGTCGCAAACTATATCCTAAATGGATGTCTACCCTAAATGGATGTCTACCCTAAATGGAGGTCTATGCGCAAATATACATTAGATTAGATGGAGGTCTATGTCGTAACTATACTCTAAATGTCTATTTTGTATCTGTTCCCTAAATGGACGTCTATTTCGCAAACTATATCCTTAATGCATGTGTATGTTGCAAGCTATACTCTACATGAGGATCTAGGACGCAAAGTTCCACAAACACTTAGCTAGCTAGAGGATATTTATGTTGCCACTATACCCTTAATACAAGTATACGTTGCAACTATTACAGGGTTTTTCTATGGCTACTTCACTATCAGAAATGGAGACGCAACTAAACTCTTTTTTTTGGTATCTCTGTCGCAAGTATATGTACATCTCATGTCAGAATTTTTCCGTAAACAGCTATACACTTAATTACATCAAACACCGTATCAAGTTTCAAGTACTGTAGATCTTTCAATTGATAATGCAAGAAAATATTTTGACTTTTTAAACAGGATCACGGCAGCATAAATAAGTTTAATAATAAAACATTATTATGAAATATCCCCAAAGAATAACATTGACCCCGAACTCTAAACACAAATTACTTCCTTATTCAAGCAATGTTTAAAGCAACATGCCTGCAGAGTCATACTAAATTTCATGGTTTTGTTTTAAATTGTACTTAAAAGTAAAATAAGTGAACAAAGAAAATGATTTACAAATTACAATTCAAGTTTATTACCAAATATTGCCTTTACTGCGTAAGTAACTCAGTAGAAATATGGTGATGAATATTGCAAAATCATTCCTTAATCTCACGTAACATGTGATTCATTACTTGAATCCTCATCAGTTTACTTTTCTTAGAATCTGGGAACAATTTTCGCAAGTTGAATTTTTCTTCAAATGTTTTTGCTAAACTGTTTGTTTGCTTTACTACTATTTCTGTACTCTTAATTTATCATTTTTCCTTAAATCACGTCTAAGGTCCCTTTCAAGAAAAGAATACAAGAATACAAACCATGATAACTTTAGTATTTACATTGATAGGAAGATAGTTAAAATAAATTTATTTGTTATGCTTTTAGTCATGTATCAGAATATAAGACATTTTAAAAAGTTAAGAGATTCAATTATCTATACATACACAATAGAAGGGGCAAAAAGATGGAAAAAAGTAAATAAACTGCTTTGGGAGCATTTCTCTCTGCATTTACGTTTTTAGCTATCAAAGATTTCAATTAGATTTATCCAGCAAAAAATTTCAAAGTCTTCTAATGTGTCAGTTTATAATGCAACAAATCTTTCAATTTTTAATCTGTTTTAAATTTTCTTTTGAAGATACTAATGTCTGGAGTTCGTTTTTTTAATTTACTGGTATAAATGTAATATTTAGAGAAGAGAAGAATATATGATATTTCTTATTTTTAGCATGAAAGAAAGATGTACAATTGTCATACATTACATTTATTGCTATTTCATTTAGTCATTTGAATAAATTATTCAAGAATATTTGTACCGTTTGGCAGTCCCAAAATAGGTGGTCTATACTTTCAACAACCATACAGCTAAAATCACAAAGACTAGATTCAGTTAATTTACATTGAAGGAAAAATTTGTTTGTTGCAATATTTTTTATTTAAAGTTTGTAAAATATTATCTTTGCAATATACAAAAACGTTTTCGTAAAATTTTTTGCAATTGAAATTATTTTTGGGGAAATCGTTCTTCCCATTTTATTTGCGATTTCATTTTTTATTTAAACACAGTTTTTATTTGCTTTTGAGGTCGTT